GATGCAAACAGCACCTGCAACAAGATTGATTTCACTAGGTTTGGTGTTTTGCTGAGGAAGTGCAGTGAAATAAGAGAAAGTCAAGGCAGAGGCGTTGAGAAGGTATGCAAGGGAGCAGTCTAATGATGAAAAATGGTGATGTCTGTGTCTCAGAAGTCTTTGTTTCCTATGGTAACATTTGCCAAATTCAGAACTATCTTCAGACTGGGACATAGTGGGCACTTGGTACGTACTAGCTGAAGTATGACTTTCAATTAATGAAATCATTATTAATCATAAGTTTGTACTACCATGCTAAGTGCTCTGGGGACTACATAGAGAAATATGCCATGATTTCCACCTTAAAGGGATTTATACCCTAGTCAAAAAATTGAACATAATGTACAAAATGTAATAAAATATGGAATGAAACCTTTTATAAGTGTTTATCTGTTTTATAATGTTATTAGTTGATCACTACTGGATATTTTTTGAATAAATGCTATCTCTTGAGTGTATTCAAGCACAGATTGATCTCTAATTGATAAATGCAAGGAACATAGAAGAAGATACAATGAGTCTGTGTAGGCTGATTTTTCAAATTTCTTTTAAAAACATAATCTTGTATTTGCTTTTCATTTAGTGTATCATATGGAATTGAAACTCTCAGTGTTGAATAAGGATTTTCAGGCTCCTATTTTTAAATAACTTGCATGCAGATAAAATTCAATTTTTCTTTCTGGTTCTGCTCTTCACAAGATGTATTACATTTGACATATCTTTTATGTTAAACGCTGAATATGGAATTTTAGGCTGCAGTTACGATTTATGCTTCCCATAAAACTTAAGACCTTCACCAACAATGGAAAAGCAATCAAGAAATGGTGTAAACAGGCCAACTTGACCCCTATCTGTTGTGGTTTATAGTATATTCCCAGTGAGAGACATTTACTCCAATAACTCCCTCTGATATTAATGGAAGGTTATACACAGTCAGAGTCAGCCTCCTTTTGAGTAGATGAATATAGGTAGACACACAAATGGAATGAATTCAGAGTTTCTAGTAGGCCCTTGGCCCATTAGAAAGTGGTTCCTCCCACCAGCTGATAATGCCCCAAATTTCATAAATAGAACATTATTTACAAGATTTCAATCAAATAAGAATTTGTTCCCTATTGAAAGGAAATGTAACCTTATTTATCACTTAATGACAGATCAACATGTTAAACAATAGAGTATCCAAGTGTGTAATCACAGGGATGATGGATAATATATATACCTCCTTGAAAGTCCAGACATGCAGGTAGACATTGGGCAACTGGTACCAAATGAGACTGTTAGAACCTCAGGTATCAAGATGGAATTTAGAATTTCAGTCCCTGAAAGAGATCTGTGTAGGATTTAGACTCAGGTTGGGATCCAATTCTGTGTGAGCTTAAGCTACTCAGCAGGTAATAAGGAAATGAACCCAGGGAAAGTGTCATAAGTACAAGTTCAGTGATTAGGAGTGGCAGACACTGGGTCCTATGATAAAGACTTTCATTCACACACTCATTTTCATTCATGTATTCCTTAATGAGCAAGTACTTACTGAACATCTACTGTGTGCCAAGCACTGGTGACGACACTGGGGTATGTAAAGGTAATAATTACCATGCAATATGATAGATATTGTGACAGAGTGTGTCAGTTAATATTCTAGAAGTACTTGGGTGAATCATGCAAAGAAGACTGGGGAGAAAGGGAAAGAAAGCTTCATGGAAAATGTAAGATACATTTTTGAACATTATTGAAGGTCAAATATATGCCAACCAAGGTACTAGGCACTCAAAGGACAAAGTTAAATGGGAGATAAGTCCTGCCTTCAAAGACTTACAGTGTAACGTGATCAGTACTTAATTAGCACCAGTGGGAGTGTTTGCATCAGCCAGGAATGTGTCTTAGAGGAAACTTCCCTATGTGGTGAACTTTGAGTGATAAGAAAAAGTTATTTAGGTAAAGGTTATTAGTACACGCATTAATGTATTTACACCCATTGATCTTTACCTAGCTAAATATATTTCATATATTTGTGTCAAATAAATGTTTGTTTTTATAAGTAAATATATTCTAGGTAAAGTGAGAAGTTTGTCAAAAGCACATGAATGTGAAATTGCAATCAAGGAATATCAAGCTGGAGCAAAAAATGTATTGGGGGGATAAAGCTGTTGATGTCAGAGAATTAGGCAAGGAGCAGATAATGAAGAGCCGTGTGTGCTAAGCTTTGGGGGGACCATTGAAGATTATTTAAGTAGATTATGTGACAAGATTAGCATTTTGTAGAAATAATGCTATTAGCTATTTTGTAGAAATAAGGAGAATGGATTAGGGGGCAGATACTGTAAAGATTATTTTGGTAATACTCATAGGAAATGAAAAAGGCTTAACCTAAGAGAAGGCAGTGACAGTAAAAGCTGAGAGAAAATGATGCCATGTATGAGGGCATTAGGGCTTCCCTGTGGCTCAGCAGTAAAGAATCAACCTGCACTGTAGAAGATGTGGGTTCCTGTCCCTAGGTTGGGAAGATTCCCTGGAAAAGAAATGTCAATCCATTCTAGTGTTCTTGCCTGGGAAATCCCATGGACAGAGGAGCCTGTCAGGATATAATCCATGAGGTTGCAAAGGAGTCGGGCACAACTCAGAGCCTAAACAGCAACAACAGTGAGGGGCATTAATGTCTGTATGGGCTTTGGGAAATGATGAAAAATGAAGAGGAGCTTAGGGATGGGATGACTCATGTGTTTATAGCAGAGATAAATAAGTGGTGGGCAATTTCACCATAGTGAAGAATTGATGAGAAATAGCTGGTTAGAGATTAAGAAGTGGAGGTAAGAGATAAATTCAACTTGAACTAACTGAATTTGAAACATTCAGAAATATACCCAGGTGAAAATGTCCAGTAGAAAATTGGCTATGCAGTTTGAAACTTAAGAGAATAGCCTGTGAGTCATAGGTATTGCTTTAACAGTCATCAACAAATTGGTGACAGCTGATGCCATAGATTTTTGATGAATTCATCCATGGAAAGTCTGTAGACTATAAACGCCAGACAGTTAAATGATGAGAAGTTGGAAGAAAAAGCCTTTGATGAAACTGGGGGGAAAAAACAGGCAAAGGGAATCCAGGAGGATATGTTGTCACAGACATGTAGGAGGAGATAATTTCTTAAAGGATTGCAAAGTTTATAATAGAATATGATATGTCCATGCAATGGAACATTATTCAATCATAAAAAGGAGTGAAGTATTGGTATATATGCCACGGCACAAATGAAACTTGTATTATTATATTAAATGAAAGAAGTTAGTCATGAAAGATCACATATTCTATGATTCCATCTATACAAAAGGTCCAGAATAGACCAGTCTATAGAGACAGAAAGCAGAATAGTGGTTGCTTAGAGTTGGGGAAGATGGGGGAAATAGGGAGATGGTAGCTAAGCAATACAAAGTTTCTCTTCATGATAATGAAAATTTTCTAAAACTGCACATATTTGTGAGTATACTCAAAACGTTGAAATTCCCTTTCAAATGAATAAATTGTATATTATGTAAATTTTATTGCAATAAATCTGTTTAAAAGAAAAAAATATGGAGTAAAATCATCAAGTGTAGCATGGAGGTCTAACAAAATAAGCATAGAAAAATCTCAATTGAATTTGAGACTGCAGAGAGATCATTGGCAAATTTAATGCTATGGGGGTGTAAAGTACAGATGACTGTGGTAGAAGAGTGAATAGGAGGTAAAAGTGATGATCTTTTTGAAGAACCTTGACTGAGATGGGAAAAGAGAGTTGAATGCTAAGAGTAATGAAAATATTTCTCTAAAAGTGGAGGAGAGCTAGGAGAACATGAATGTTTCAATATACAGGAGTGGGGGGGGGGTGATTAACGAAAGAAATTATGAATAGGTAGAAAGTGATAGGATCTGTTGCCCAGGTAGAGGAGAAGTTCTCTGTAACTGAGAAGGAGGAAATTCAATCAAGTGTTGCCATGCAGGTTCTATATTTCCATTAAGTTGGGAAACAAATCTTTTATGGTTGAGTGGCATTTATCTTGGTTGATGATTTAAGTGGGAAATAAGGATTTTCAGTAGTGAAGGAAATGGAGGAAGGAGCTTACCGAGACATGTTGGATTGCTAGGCAGCAGTGAACATTCCACTGAGGCTGAAGACCAGAATTAGTAGTATATATGTGTTTTATTATAATCAGCTCTCAGGAACCTGGAGAGAAGAACAAATGCTGAAACTGATTCAACTTTGAACATTTATAGAGCACTGCATGCAAAGAGAAGCAGAGAATAAAATGTCAAGATAAATGACTGATAAACATGATGGGTCGGGAGAAAGAAAGTGAAGTCAATGGATACTGGTAGTGGTCTAGTGGTCTAAAAGGGTTGTTCAAGCATTATTTTAGTAATGGAACTATTCTGTTTAGTGAAATCAATTTAAAAAATTAAAAATTCAATTTTTAAATGAAATCAATTAAAAAAACACAGCCGCCCAAAGTACACACAGAGCTTTCTTATTATTGACCTGGAGACACACCTCTCAGCATGTCCTTCCCTTCTTCAGCAGTCCCTGAGTCGCTTCTTGGGGGCCTATGGCTCTTAGAACAGAGTTTGAAAACCACTGGTCTATGGAGGACTTAATGAAGTAGAACATGGAAAGCAAGATATATGAGATTAATGACATTAACAATAACAGCAATAACCACTAACAAGATGAAGATGGAAGAGGTGGAGAAGAAGGAGGAAATAATAGAGAAAAGGAAGAAGAAAAAAAGCACTTAATGAGCACTTTTCACCAGGCTCTAGTCTAAGTGCTTTATATCTAATCTTCACAATAACTGAATTAATGAAGAAAGACTATTATCTCTGTTTTTATAGATGAGGACATTGAAGCATAGGAAGGTAATCACTTGCTGAGGGGTAATTGGCTTAGCAGCAGCTAGAGCACTTCATGAGAGTGGCTTAATGCTTACCTCTGAGATGAATGATTTGCTGGTAAATTCTTCTACCTTGACTCTAGATGGAACTCAGTCTGAGAATCAAGTGACATCAGAAAAAAAGTGAAGTCAATGAATACTGATAGATCAATAGAGATGATAAGGGATGTAGAAGTTTGGAAATAAATTAGACCTGATAGGATCAATAGGACTTAGTAAATGATGTGGGATGAAAGGAGGGCAGGGAATCAAGAATTATTCCAATAATTCAAGTTCTGGAGAAATGTTGCATTTTTTAAAAATTTAGAAATTGATGAGGAATTTGGTTTCAGGGGACAGGGAAATGTTAGGTATTATAAAGCACATAATATATCCAAAAAGCCATTATACTTAATATACATTATTATTTTTAATATAAGAAAATATTACTATCCATATTTGACAGATGAAGAAGTTGAACTTTTCAGAGATTTATTTCCCCAAAGTGACACAGTCAGTAGATGATGGTGTCAGACTTTGGATCCAGATGATTTTATTTCTAGGTACATTCATTTTGGGGATTGACAGGGGAGTGATATTCAATAGGTACCTAAGGCTAGATGGTTGTAATCTGGAAAGAGAGACATTTGGGAGACAGAAATTTCATATAGATCCTCTTGGAATTGGTAGGTGTAGTTAAAATTTCCATGGGCAGAGAATATACATAGCAGAGCAAAGAACTGAGGACTAAATTTTGAGGGACTGCTCACATGTCAGAAGAGAGGAGGGAAAATATGAGGGAAAATATGAAAATAGAAAATGATTCAAGAAGTAGAACAATAGCTCCTATAGCATTATCTTTCATGTTTTTACTCTGACTCCGAGTTAGAAAAAACATTTTGTCTGGCAACCCAATATGTATATATGTTTATGTTTATGTATATGTGTAAACCCAAAGTTTCCAAATGCAATAGTTACTGTTAACAGTGCTGATATTTCCCCTTCTATTCTTCTTTTTTTTAATAAAAAAAATACTTGTTGATTAGAAACACACTAAATTTGTTTCATAACTTAATAGTGGTCCACAATCCAGTGTTTGAAAATACTGCCCTATAGCTACCCTCAAACATTCGGGATACCACGATGACATGTGGGCACTGGGAATTCTCAAGTTTGGCTAGTTATCTTGGAATAATAGCAAATATTAATGACTCTCAATGACCACTTTCAGTAATTTATCATGGGGGATTGTGACAATTGCCCCATCTCTAAGGCCCGTTCTCTTTCTGTTTCCCTGTCCCAGTGTTTGTTTTCCCCTCCTTTAATTTCCTGTTTTCCACTCAACTTTCCTTGGTCCCTTCGGTTTGGAAATTAATTCTTCCTGGGTTTGTTCTTTTTTTTTTATTGTTGTTTTTTCTAAATGAATTAAAATAATTTTAAGGCTGACCTTTCCATGTCATTTTCAATTGTCCCTTGTGGCCCTTTTATGCTTAAGGATACTGTACCACAGTAGGAGAATGAACATTTTATTGTGTGGTACATAGTTTTCATTATATAATAATTTAATTATATGACAAATGAGGTTGCAAAACTAATGTTACTCACAGCACCTCGTGCAGTGCTGCCAAATGCCCTGAGCTAACCTGACATTACCAGGAATGAATCTTGGAGACCCAGAATTCACAGATCCAGGAATGCCAAGTGAAGTTTGTCATCAATTCTGAAGCCAGGGAATCAGAGTAAATAACATGAAACAACTTTGTCTCAATATTCTTTCTTCCTCTGTGGTACCCATATAAAAAGATTTCTTGTTGATGCACTCTGCTGTTGAGACTATGAGAGGGACTCTGACAACAAACAAACAAATTGTAAAGTGTGACAATTTTATAAATTAATGGAGAATTTCTTTGAGGGCTATCACAGTTTGGAGAGGTAACTGTAGAATTTTTAAGAGGTACTGATTTTGCTTATTTCTTTGTTTCCATATTTTGTCAGGGAAACCAAGGCATGGGGTCCTAAGTGACTTAAACTAAGGAGCTACGAGCTACTCGTAGCTACCAGCTATGAGTTTAGACAACCTGAATTTAGAATTTAAGACTGGCAACCGGTTAGACTCTAAATTTAAATAGCTAGCAAATCTCTCCAAACAAATACTTTCTCAGAAAGGTTGGCTCTCTACTTGTTAGTTACTTGGAGTAGCCAATTAGATGAAAGGTCAAATGGGGAATATTGGGCAAACAAATTAGATTTTGTTAGCATGGACTGCAGATGGGAAAGTTGGTAGAATCTGTAGGCTAATTTCAACTTATGACCTGAACTTAAATATTTGGGATCACTAACTCACAATTTTTTCATCATGAAAATTTTATAGACTATGGCCTTGCAAGTTTTGTAGTACATCAGAATCAACAGGTTTTTAAAAATTCTCATGCCTATACTCTAACCGAATATATTTTAAAATAAATCTTAGAGGTGATAGTAGTGCATAGAAAAGTTTGAAAATTCTCAGTGACTCATTTTGGGCACATAAAGATCTAGATTCACTTATTTGTAAAATAAGTCAGTACTGAGTGTATTCAATGAGAACCTCTGTTCTTCATGGGAGAAAAAAGAAGTAAGACACACAGTTGATGAACTCACAATGTGGTAGGGAGGTAAGTGCAAATATAAACATGAAGGGAGGTAAAACGTGGTTACAGGTTAAAATAAGGTAAGGGTAGTCCAACAGGAGTGAAGAGGTGAGGATTAGGCTCTGGTGGTTCAGTGGTAAAGAATCCGCCTGCCAATGCAGGAGACACAGTTTCAATCCCTGGGTCAGGAAGATCCCCTGGAGAGGGAAATGGCAACCCACTCCAGTCTTTTTGCCTGGGAAATCCCATGGACAGAGGAGCCTGACTGGCTACATTCCATGGGGTCACAGAGTCAGACACGACTTAGCAACTTAGAAAAAAAGCAACAAAGCGATGAGGTTTTATTGTAGATATAGTATAACAGGAGTGAAGAGGAGGGAATTAGGTCATACTTCTAAAGGAGGGCAAAAATTCATCTGGATGTTGATGGATTGATAAGCCTTGGGAGGTGAACGTTTGGGATTTCTGGCAATAGACACAGCATGAGTGAAAGTTTTTAGATAATTTCCAGGTATATTTAGGGAGTAGACAGCAATGTCATTCAACTGGATCAGGGTACTTGCAGAAAGATAGAGGCCAAAAGCAAGAGCATAAAATATCTTCAACACAAAACTAAGGGTTTTGAAACTAGTTACTGGAAAATGAAGACCCATATTTGGTTTTCTGAGCAGAGACGGATATGATATGAGCAGCAGGGTGTAGGATGGTTTGGTAGGGAGACAACCTGGATCTAAACAGATAGGTTGCAAGACTCGTACATTGCTTCAGGCCAAAGCTTCCCCATGACTTGCTCAAAATCTCTCCTCTATACACATGTACGTAACACCATTTTTTACTTGCTCCTTCCGTGATTTTTGATTTGCTGAATCAATGACAGAGTCCTCCAGGTCAAGTACCTGAATCTGAACCAGTGGAAAGTGGTACCATAGTTTGTTTATATGTCGCATGAATTATAATAAAAATAAGAGACTCTTGGGGTTTTAACAGAAACTGTACTGGATGAGAAAACCTGAAGATATGTTCCAAATCATAGTGACAGCATTGCATTCTTTTGAAAGAATTTCATGACTTTCTCTTGATACTTTGAAGATGGGAGAGCATGAGATCTAATTCGAACTGGTTTTAATTGCTTTTTTTATGCAAGGGTAGAAAAGAATGGTCTAATGTACAACGGTGATTTAATGGCAGGTGGCCTTCCCTATTATGAACATCTTTATTTTCTCTTTCTCTGCCTACTCTTTTGCTTCTTTTCTTATTTTATATTCTGACCCTAACTTCTTTTACTCTTTCTCATTTTTCTTTCTTTCCTTATGGCCAGCAACCTCTTCTTTTGGTCTGCCCCAAAGGGTCATCATGACCCTTTTCCTTGGGAGAAGAGGGGATGGGTGTTATTTGTTAATCATTGTCTAGGGTGGAGACCTTTTCTCTTAGTTAAATTATCTCAGTGTCATCCTGAGTGCCTTGCACAGTGCTAGGAAATATTAAGTTCACAAAAAATGATTTTTGAAAGAAAATGCAACATACGACCTCAGACATGTTTTTGTCCTTAATGACGAAGGTTGACCCTACTTGAGTTTTTCAGGACCTCTGTGATTTCAACTATACTATTCTATTGTTTTATAAAGTATACTTATACTGTAAAACCACATCTTGATTTTTGGTTTAAAAGTATGCTCACCCTACCCATGAAAAGTACACATTAATCTGTACTCCAAACATAATCCATATTAAAAAGAGAACATTCTTTGGGTATTTTACATGCTCCTCTTGGAAAAGACCAAAATGAAAAAAAAATATAAATAAATGAAAGAAAGAAAAAAAATTGAGTGGCAAGAAGGAGGAGGTGGTGGGTAGAAATTTGGCAGGTTTTGTTTAGCTCCGGTAGAAAGCTCTCTGGAACAATTTAGCCAGCATTTTCATTGGCAGGCCTTAGTAGAACCATTAGAGCTATTAAACGAATGTATTGTTTTGAGTTTTCTTTGGCCCAACCTCCCCTATTATTTAGGGAAACAGAATTGCACATTTGCAGAGAAGAGAGGAGACTGAATGCCAGCTAACTTGAACCTTCCTTCGTGGCGTGCTGTGGATGAGCAGCCTGTAGAGCTAAGGATTGCTGAGAATTCCTAGCCCCGACAGATTCCCATGTGCCAAGTGCAATACTGAATCTGATCAGGATTCTTGGATATTTTTTTCACTTTCTGGTTAAAAAGTAATCAGAGCTTTGTGAAAGTTCATCTAATAAATTATACAGGGGCCTTTTTCTATCTGGCAAGGAATCCCTTTTAGAATGTCTCTTCAGGAGCAGAGGGCCCTGATCTGGAACACCCAATCTCTCTAGCCTAAAAATAAACTTGGGTTTTAAGAAATTGCATGTATGTGTGTGTGCATGTGCTTGTACCCGTATGTGTGCACTTGCGCCTCTGTGTGTGTGTGTGTGTGTGTGTGAGGGGAGACAAATGGAGAATGCTGAATGTAGAAAATACTTTGTTAATAGATCTTGGAGTTGGAAATGCTGACTTTTTTCTTTTTAAATAAAGGATG